CGGCCCTCCTGTTCTTCCATGCCATCCCAAGCCTCTTGATCGTGTCAGCCCTCAACTCCTCCCCCAGAATAAATTTACTCTATGATTAAAATAATAAATTAACTAAATAACAAATTATAAAAAAATAATTAAGCAATTTCAATAATCAAAAACAAATAATTAGTTTTTAACTAATTTAAGAATATTATAAATAAAATATAAATTAATCAAAAACAAATAATAATTAAACAATTAAGTAATTTAAATGAAAAAATATTTTTACTCAACTAAATTTAAAATTATTATAAGTAATAAATTAATGAAATCAATAACAAATTATTTTCATTTAACTACTTTTAAATAATTTAAATAAAAAATATATATTCATTTAACTACTTTTAAAAATGTTATAAATAACAAACAAATTAAATAAATAAAAAATTATAATCAAACAATTAAATTATTTGAAAACAAAATATATAATCATTTATTTAAATTAAAAAAAATTATAAATAACAATTTTATATTACCTTTATCATTTCCCAGCCTTGCTGCTTCTTGTTTGAGGTGATCTTCTTCCAGTCCTGCACGTAGATGGGGAACAGCGTCCACTGCTGACCAACGAGGCGCACGTACTTGTTGTACAACTGGCCACCTTTCTTCGTCGGTTGGCCCAACTCATTGAGCGGCACAACCACTCGTCCGCCCGTCATCATAGACAGCTCTCTGGCTGTCAGCCTCCGATAGGACCTGTTCCCCTCAGTGTCTGCAAAATTTAATTAAGAAATAAATTATATATCAATAAATTAATACAATTTCTATATAAATTAAATACTGATCAAAACTTTAAAAAGTTAAATAAATACTTACCGACAAATTCCACCTCATAACCAGCCTGACGTCTCGGAGCAGGACACTGCGCAGCCTGGGGATACTCATTCCCCTGATCCTGCTCCTCCTCCTCCTCCTCGTCAGCAGCATCAGCATCAGCATCAGCATGGGGTTGCTCATCCCCAGTAAAATGAGCCTCCTCAGTCCGCTCAACATCATCCTGCTCCATAAAACTGAGGATATCCTCCTCGCTGAGATCGTAGTCATGAATGCTGGGGAATGGCTCACCAGTATCATGATGAACCTCACTGGGTCCAGCTCTCTCAGGATCAACTGGGTCTTTCCCGTGTCGACGAGTCATCCTAATAACAACAAATAGTAATTATTTATAAATGAAATAAAAAGAAAAATTATTTATAAGCGACAACATAATAAAATAAATAAAATAAAACATAAAATAAAAATTATTTATCAATAAATTACTATTTTTACTTGAAAATAAGGATCTGCACCTGAATCAGAACTCGAATATGTTTGTGGAGAAAATTCAGCAGAGCTTCGCTTCCAGAACGATTGAAGAAGTGAGAGTGTGGGGGGGTATATATAGACCGAGAATTTCTAGCGGTTAGGCACAAAACCGCTAGAAATTTCTAGCGGTTTTGGGCTGAACCGCTAGAAATTCCCAACGGTCACATGTGCCTCGGGAATTGGCTAGCGGTTCGGTCCAAACCGCTAGCAATTTCTAGCGGTTCGGCTCAGAACCGCTAGAAATTCTGGCGGTTCGGTCCAGAACCGCTAGAAATTTCTAGCGGTTCGGTCCACAAACGCTAGAAATTTCTAGCGGTTGTGGACCGAACCGCTAGAAATTTCTAAACTCCTCGGGGAATGAAAAATATTTCTAGCGTTTCATGCATCAACCGCTAGAATTTTTCGGTGTCTAGCGGTTTAGTAGCCTGAACCGCTAGAAAGTAAACGCTACAAATTTGGCGCCAAGTTCCCGCCAAAGCCCGGGGAATTTTCTAGCTCTAATTTTCTAGCGGTTAGGTGGTAACCGCTAGAAATGTGCGGGCAATGGTCAAATCGTCTGTATTTTACAGCGGTTTTTATAGGAACCGCTAGGAATATTTGGAATTTCTAGCGGTTTTGTTGAACCGCTAGAAATGTTCCGCTGCTACTTCAACATTTTCTTGTAGTGATTTTCTCATCGGAATGTCATCTCAAGTTCTTTGCTTATATGGCATTAACAAATAAACGCTTAAACTATGGTATTATTTGAAGATACCACAATACCTTCAAAGGAGGACCTTTGGTCATTTCATCATAATCAACACCATCTTTCTTCACTTTGTATCTTGAAGTGCCACATTTGGGGCACTATTCAACCTTTCATACTCATTTCTGAACAATATGCAGTTATTAGGACACATATGTATCTTATTATATTTCAAACCCATCAGACACAATTTTCTTTGCCTCATACATTCCATTTGGAAGTGAATTTCCTTTTGGAAGAGTATGACTCAACAATTCGAGCAATTTTGTAAAACTAGTATCAGTCCAACCATTTCTTGCCTTCAACTTCATCAACTTCAACACGGTTGTCAACCTTGTGTAATCATCTTTACACCCTGGGTACAAAGGCATCTCTACATCACTACACAAGCTTCCACATGTGGGAAAGAATTGTGCAAAAGACTCAGACCTTATATCACATAATATATCTAAAATTCTATCACCAAAGTCATCATTCACAACTTTCTCCTTTCCAGACAACATAGTCTTTTTTTTCGCTATGCCATATCCAATTTGTATACATCAAATTTATTCCATCACAGATAAGATGCTCTCTTATCTCAAGAATATTCTGCCGACTATTGTTTAAGCATTTGATACAAGAACAACAATACAAGCCATCTCTTTTACTATGGGCATTTCTTTTAGCAAACTCAAGAAACCTTTCAACCCCATCCCCATTTTCTTCGCTAATTCTCTTAGCTTTTATTCAACTATGATCTATTGTTTGTCAAGCTCAATTCTAACTGTTTAATGCAAATGTTTAAATAAATAAAGTAATTAAGTGTTAGTCAATAAATTAAAATTGACTAACACTTAATTACAAGTTCTCTTTTTTATTTTATAAAAATTTTGACAGAATTTTTCCTTACATATAATGAATCACAAATTATTTAACCAATAGACAAATCAATCAATCAACTAACTAACAATATAAGAAACAGATATAGGATAAATTTGAACAACTATAACTAACAAAACAAAAGCAACAATCTCAAACCAATTCAATGAATAAATATTCTTAAGCTAAAACTTCTAAATCCAAAACTAGAACACAAATGATATCTATTTGTTATGAAATTTTAAACAACACTTTATCATCAATCAAAGTTCATAGCAGAAAAAAATTGGCCAAAACACTTAACAAATTATTTATTGGTAAATTCTCAAAATTTATTACAAAAATTTGGCAAAAATTTGAAATAAAATATCAAAAAATTATTTCAAAAATTACGAATTTAAAAACTAATCAACTTTGAAGATTTAAACATGTTTCTATTGCCATGTATAGGAAGTAATTGCCATTTTCTAATTTCAAATATCAACAACCAACTCTCCAAATATAAAAGATACTCTCTTAAAGCTAAAACTTTTAAATCCAAAATGGAAATACAAATGATATCTATTTGTCATGAAATTTTAAATAACACTTTATCATCAAACAAAATTCATAACAGAAAAAAATTGGCAAAAACACTTAACAAATTATTTATTGGTAAATTCTCAAAGTTTATTACAAAAATTTGAAATAAAATATCAAAAAAATATTAAAAAATTATAAACTTAAGAACTAATCAACTTTAGAAATTTAAACATATTTCTAAAGCCGTGTATAGGAAGTAATTGCAGTTTTCTAACTCCAAATGTCACCAACCAACCCCTCAAGCATATAAGATACTCAAAATAAATAATGTAAAACGTTCAAAATGTGAAACCAATCAACCTGTTTGAGATATGATAGATTTATATCATCAAAACATTCAAGACAACAAAAACGAAGGAAAAGAATGAATGAAGAGGAAACTCACACAGTGGGAGACGAGTAAAATGCAAGAAGGGGCGAGAATGGCTAGTGAAAGACAGCAGCAAGCAAAAGAGCGGCGAATGGAGGATGAAAAATGACAGTAAAAGGTGGGGATTTGTCGAAAAATGCAGTTTGGATAGTGGGACAAACCAGGGGACCATGATGCTGTGAAATTGTCAAACTGCAACTATGAAAACAAAAACAGGAGAGGAGGGTTTATTTTAAAACTTTCTATGATGGTTACACAAATAACCCCCCGTGGAAAGATATTTTACTGGCAGTTATATTAATAGCAGTCATTAAAAAACTTTTTGATGGCAGTTATATTAATAACTACCGTGAAAAGTCAATCATCACATCCTATAATTTCAAAAATACCACCATCTTTGTTTTCATGGCGTTTTTATGTTTAATCGTTCTAAAATGGTGTCATTAAATGTATTTTTTGTAGCAGTAAAGTAACCCTAAAATATGATGTGGCTGCTAGCAGCCACTTCCACGAAACATGTGGTGCTTTGAATGGTCCGCTAAAACCAACTCTTCTGGAAGCATAAAGCGTCATACATGGAAGTCATCTGCTTTTATGATCAACAACTTCATGGAAGATGCAAGTTGGAATTCTACTGAATGAAGCGACCCCGATTGAACATGAATATATATACTTTTTTTTTTAATGAAAAAGCGGTCCTAGTCTTACACACATACGTACAAAATACGCGGAGTGCTTTGTAACAAACATAATCAATAATCAATATAAAAAATTTTAAAAAAAATTATTTTATTTTAATCATATTTTGTATATTTTTGGCAGGACAATCATAATTTTGTCGTGTATAACATAAGTCAAAGATAATTGCAATTTGTCTTCCATCTAATAATTACTCATATATATGCAGATGCAAAAGAATATAACGAAATTACTTGGTGCATCAGCAATATAATTATACAACGTTCTTGACCGCGCACGCATATATATGGAGATGAACGTAACTTAAAATCATCAGACAACCATAGCCTACATTAGTGACCTTCATTTCATCAAACTGTTGGATCATCTAAGTCAGAGCAGATCTGGCGCCCAGAAGAAAGCAAATTAAGACTGATGCTCGCTGCTTGACCTCGTCAACTTGCTGCTGTTTGAGGAGCTCCTTGGTCCATCACTACTCGTAAAACCTACTCTTCTTTCTACACCTTTTGTCGCTTTCCTGATCAGAGCTCTTTCCTTGCTCTTTCTTTCAATTTCGTCCACATCAAGCCTCACTTCCTCTATGCCTTCTTCAACAGTAACCTCCTCATTTAGAGTCCCACCAAGCTTTGTCTTCTCTGCTTCGTTCAGCAACTCCATCAAAGACTCTAGCCCCAACATCACGTCGCCCATGGATGGCCGTTCATTCCCATTATTAGCCAAGCACTTCAACGCAATCTCAGTGTATGCGTTTAAGCACTCTTTTATACTTCCCCTCAAGTTTGGACCCAGAGTCTCATAAATCTCATTTTGATCAACACATGTTCGAAACCATTCAGCAAGGTTTTGCTGCTTCTTGTCCACCGCACGGAGAATAGGAGGCCTCCTATATAATACCTCTACCAACACAACTCCAAATGAGAACACGTCTGACTTATCCGTCAAGATTTGACACATGTAGTATTCTAGATCCATATAACCAATGCTTCCTTTCACTAAAGTGATTATGTTAATGTTACATCTAGAAATACCCCCAGGTCCCATTTTGGATTAGTCTAAAATCAAAAATCTTGGCCATCTAGTTTTTATCTATTAAGATGTTTGTCGACTTGATATGGCCATGAATGGTTGCATGCTTTGCCCCTGTTTGTAGACAATGCACTCCCCAAGCAGCACCTAGGCAAATCCCCAGCTTTTGATTCCAAGAAAGTGGTTGGTTTTCAGAATTGTAAAGATGTTCATGAAAAGTCCCATGAGCCATGAACTCATAGACAAGTATCATCTCATTGTCATTGTTGCAGTAGCCAATGAGAGATACCAAATGATGGTGACGAAGATGAGAAAGCATCTCAATCTCAGTTTTGAACTCTTTGAGCACCTGTTGGAAACCTTGCTTGAGTCGTTTGATTGCCAGCAGCACTGTACCATTATCAATGTAGCCTTTGTAAACATCATCAAACCCTCTAACGCCCATAATTAACATATTATCAAGATTATTGGTGGCTGCTCGTATTTCATCTATAGAAAAGTAACCAAAAAAAAAATCGGACGGTAATGATGACCCATGAGTTTTTTTTTTGGGACGGGTCTATTGATTTTTGTCCCCACCATGAACTTCCTTCCATCAATCGCCGAAAAATCAACAAAAGAATAAGAGACAGCACAATGAAGCCTGATGTAGCCCCAACGACAATGGAAATTGTCTTTGCTTTGTTTCCGTTCCTCGATGGCCTGGAGGATGGTGTGGATGGAGATTGAAATGGATTCAGACTAGGACTCGCAAGATTGTCATTATAGTCCGTACTTATTTTAAGAATTTCAATACCATTCAATAAAACATCATCTAAGTGCTTCTTGCAATTGGCTGTGGTTGCAAATTAATTGAAAGATTCAGCTTCTTTAACTTTCCATCACCACTGTTAGTGGAATAAAATAACCAAAATAGAAAGGCAGATGAATTGTGTTTCTTTATTGATGAATATTGCAGCAAATACATAACAGTACACTGACTTGAAGGGCACGAATAAATTTCTGAAAATAAACTGAATATAAATAATAAATAAAAGAGAGTGGGAGAGTGGGGATATCGGATTACATGGGATTGGCTTTGACTCATTCAAACTGATAATAAAATAATTAAATAATTGACTCTAAAAATAATTGAAGCATCAATCAACACTCCCCCCTTGCTTCAAAGCTGCAAACACCCATCTACAATCTAAAATCTTCAACTTTGCCAATAGAGAGTGACTTGGTCATTATATATGCAACTTGCTCAGTTGTTCTACAATACTTCAATGCAATAGTGCCATCTGCTACAAGATCACGAATGAAGTGGTGCCGGATATCAATGTGCTTCATTCTGCCATGAAAAGTTGCATTCTTTGTCATCACAATGGCTGATTTGTTGTCACAATAAATCTTTGTTGCATCTTGTTGTGGTTGAAGAAAATCTACCAATAATCTTCTAAGCCACACAGCTTGATAGGCTACTGAAGTTATTGCTGCATACTCTGCCTCATATGAGGATAAAGCCGTAGTGTCTTGCTTCTTTGAGCTCCATGAAATAGCACCTGAACCAAGGGAAAAAACATATCCCGAAGTGCTTCTTCTATCATCAATACAACCTGCCCAATCACTATTAGAAAAGCCAAATAATTTGAAATTGGATATTTTTTAGTACCAAATTCCAAAATCAATAGTGCCTACAACATAAAGAATGATTCTCTTTACAGCACCAAAATGATGTTTTGTGGGATTATGCATGAATTTGGAAACTACACTCACAAAATGTGCAATATTGGGATTATGCATGAATTTGGAAACTACACTCACAAAATGTGCAATATCAGGCCTTGTATTAGATAAGTAGTTCTAACCACCTACCATGCTTCTATACCACCTTGCATTAGCAAGTTTAGTATGATATTCAGCTCTCAATTTCTCATTCACATTCATAAGAGAACGTGCTGTTTTACAACCCAACATACAAAACCTTTTGAGCAGATCCATAGCATATTTTCTTTGAGAAATGAAAATACCATCAGAGCATTGCTTCACTTCTATACCAAGAAAATAATGCAATAATCCCAGATCAGACATTTCAAACTTCTGCATCATATTTGACTTAAAATCAGCAATCACCTTTTTAGAAGATCCCATATAAATCATATCATCAACGTAGAGGTAAACCACTAAAAAATCAGAATCACCATGCTGTTTCAAATAAAGAGTGGGCTCATTATCACTCCTTTTAAATCCATTTTCACGAAAATAGGAGTCAATTTCATGATACCATCCACGCGGGGCTTGCTTAAGCCCATACAAAGCCTTTTTCAGCTTATAAACTTTACTTTCATGGCCGGTAATAACAAAACCTTCAGGTTGAGAAACATATACTTCCTCTTTCAACTCACCATTCAGAAAAGCCGATTTAACATCAAATTGAACTACATGCCATTTAAGTTGAGCAGCAAAAGCTAGAAAAGTTCTCATCGTTTCAAAACGAGCTACAGGAGAAAAGGTTTCATCAAAATCAATACTTTGTTGTTGAGCATAGCCTTTAGCTACTAAGCATGCTTTATGCTTTTTCACACTATTATTTGCATTATACTTGGTTCGAAACACCCACTTGAGCCCAATTGCTCTCTTGCCTTTTGGAAGATCAACTAACTCCCACATATCATTCTTCTTGATACAATTCATCTCTTCAATCATTGCATTTTTCTAAACTTGCTCTTTTTCAGCATCCACATAAGACTCAGGATCTGAAGCGAAAAGAGCATAATTACCAAATTCATAAATCTCTATCAAAGATCGAACCTTTCTAGAAGGAGTTTTACTTGAGAAGCTAGTGAATGAACTTGCTAGTGAAGATTTAATTCTGTCTGCACTAGAAGGTTATGACTGTGGTGTTTGTGAGCTACTACCACTTGATGTAGATAACTCTAAACCTGTTTGATCTAGTTCAGAGTTTCTTGCTTCAAAACTTATTGGAACAGAAACAGATTTTTCATCTACCATGCTACTCCAATTCCAACTAACTTTTTCATTAAACACAATATCCCTCCTAATTATTATCTTGCCACTAACTGGATTAGATAGCCTATAAGCTTTGGATTGCAGGCTATAACCAACAAAAATGTATTTTTCAGATTTTTCATCAAGTTTTTGATGATATGATTTTACCAAAGCATAGGCTATACAACCAACAACTTTTAAGTGGCTTACCCAGGGCTTTACACCTCTCCATGCTTCATAAGGTGTCATGTTAGGGACTGCTGTTATGGGAGAAAGATTAAGCAGATACACTACTATAGCTACTACTTCTGCCCACAACTGATTTGGAAGCTCTCTGGCTTTCATCATGCTTCTAGCCATTTCAACCACAGTTCGATTCTTCCGTTCAGCAATGCCATTTTGCTCTGGCATAAGTGGTGAAGTGAGTTCCCTGTGAATATCCTCACAAAAGCTAGCAAATTCATTAGAACAAAATGCTCCTCCTCTATATGCACGCAAAACCTTTATGCAACAATCACTTTGATTCTCTACAAGAACTTTAAATTTCTTGAAATTTTCAAACACTTTAGATTTTAATTTCAAGAAATAAACCCAGCTCATTCTGCTATAATCATCAGTTAACAACAAAAAAATACCGACTGCCATTCAAAGATTCAGTATTCATTGGCCTACATAAATCTGCATGTATCAATTCAAGACATTGAGAAGCCCTCCAAGACTTCCCTACAATAAAATCTTCTCAACAATAGCATATGGCCATTTTCCCAAAACAGAGCCTTCACAAAAATCAATAGCATTAATATTTGGCAGCCCAAAAACCATTTCCTTTTTACTCAACAATTGCAACCCATTAAGATGCAAATGGCCATATCGTAAATGCCACAAATTAGAACTACTAACTTCTTTAACAGCTAAAGCTCTTTTTTCAACAGAAGAAATGTCAAGAGGAAACATTCTATTTTTAGTTATGGAAACTTTTGTAACTGTTTGACCAGACTTCTTATCAAAAACATCACAACAGAAATCATCAAATGTGACTCTAAAGCCATTTTCCATCATTTGTCCCACATTCAATAAATTATTAGCCAAACTAGGCACAAGCAAAACATCATTCAACAACTTCTTTTTACCATGGTCATTATGAACAGCAATTGTACCTCTACCTCCGACTTGAACTTGCTTATCATCACCAAGTCGAACATTAGATTTGTGTGATTCATCTGGCTCTTTAAATAGTGAACGTGAGCTAGTCATATGATTGGAGCACCCACTGTCAATAAACCATATATCTTTTGAAGATTGAGCGTCTGGGAAATGTGCCATAAACAAGGTCTCTCCCTCTATCTCTGCAAAGTCAGCATGTTTTTTCTCACCTCTCTGCTTTACCCAACAGTCTACCTCCTTGTGCCCAAGTTTCTTGCACTAATGACATTGAATAGAGCCCTTTTGAAAAGCTCCAAATTGCTTTGACTCATTCGATTGATCGCGACCTCTACCATTACCACAGCCTCTGCCTCTACCTCTTCCACGAAAACCACCTCTACCATTGCCTCTGCCTATAGACTCCCCATTCACTTGAAAAGCCTGCTCTTCACTTTTCTCTTGAAATTGATTCATCCTGTCTTCATGAGCTTGCCAGGAACTTATTAATTCATTAAAAGAATACTTTGATATATCATGTGCCTCTTCAATTGCAACAACAACAAAATTAAAACGAGGAGTAAGAGTTCGTAGAATTTTTGCAACAATTGTTTCATCAGCAATTTTTTCCCCATAGGATCTCATTTTATTAACCACAGAACTAGCTCTAGATAAGTAATCTTGGACAGACTCAGCCTTTTGCATTTTGAGATTCTCAAATTCACGACAGAGTGATTGGATTTTTACAGAGATTACCTTGTCAGAGCCCCGACACTCAGTCTTTAATATCTGCCATGCCTCTTTAGAAGTCGCTGCAAATGTGATCTTAGATAAAAGATTATTGTGTACTGCTTACTGGAGGAAAAATAAAGCTTTTGCATCTCGCTTCTTATTTTCCTTCAATTGTTGTTGGTCCATATCAGGGTCTTCAAAACCATCCTCAACCAAATCCCACAAGTCTTGAGAGCGGAAAAGGGTCTTCATTCGAATAGACCAGAACTCATATTTGTCACTGTTGAATATAGGAGAGGTTGTATTAACCCCACTAGGTGAACCGATTGCTGCCATCAGTCACCATCACAGTGAAGAGAGTTGCTTAAGCGGAAGATGATGCCATGTTCTGCTAGAGAAGGAGAAGCTGCAATGCTTCGGTCATGGTTCAGAGCATAGCAGAAGGATGCTGTTTGCTCTCACTAGTTTTCACTCACTCACGAGAAATGATATTTTAGTCTCTCATGGGAAGAGAATGTTACTCGTGCACTGTGTCGCTCTCACACAGAAGAAAAATGAAGCTGCGATGCTCTCTCTCTAGAG